GTGAAGTTCTTATTTCGGCCTTCTGAAGTGTTTATCTGACTCAAATATGTATGTTACTCAAAACAACATCAAAAGTTGAGTCATTTGGTGAAGTCGAGATTCTTCACTTCTGAAGTGCTTATTTCACTGGAGGAAGCATGTTAGTCAATCCAACATCAAAATTTGAATCATTTAGTGAAGTTCAGATCTTGGTCATTCGGTGAAGTTGAGATTTTGGTTTTCTGAAGTGCTTATCTCACTGAAATATGCATGTTAATCAAAACAGCATTGAAACTTGAGTCATTTGGTAAAGCTCTTATGTGGTCTGCTGAAGATCTTAACTCGCTCAAAACAGCATTTTATTTCAAACAGCATCAAAAGTTGAGTCATTTGGTGAAGTGGAGATTTTAGCCTTCTGAAGTGCTTATCTCGCTGAAATAAGCATTTTTATCTAAACAGCATTAAAAATTAAATCATTTGTTGAAGTTGAGATTTTTGCCTTCTGAACTGCTCAACTCGCTGAAATAAGCATGTTATTCAAAACAACATCAAAAGTTGAGTAATTTGGTGAAGTTGAGATATCAGTCTTCCGATGACATTATCCCAGTGAAATAAGCGTGGTAGTCAAAACAGCATCAAGAATTAAGTCATTTGATGAAGTTGAGATTTTTGAATTCTGAAGTGCATATCCCACTCAAATCTGCTTGTTAGTCAAAAAAATCATCGAAACTTGTGTCATTTTGTGAAGTTCAGATTTTGGTCTTCTGAAGTGCTTATCTCACTCAAATATGCATATTACTCAAAACAACATCATAAGTTGAGTCATTTGGTGAAGTCGAGACTCTTCATTTCTGAAGTGCTGATTCAGTTAGTCAATCCAACATCAAAATTTTTGTCATTGAGTGATGTTCAGATTTTGGTCTTCTGAAGTGCTTATCTCACTGAAATAAGCATGTTGTCAAAACAGCATAAAAAGGTTGAGTGTCTTGTTGAAGTTGAGATTTTGGTCTAATGCTGTGCTTATCTCGCTGAAATAAGCACG